ATTATGAGTGGACACAACACACAATGTCATTGAGGGTTGTGGGACTTCGTCCCAAAACCCCCACAATGACATTGTGTTATGCCCCTTCCCATAAATGAGATATAATAGTTTTATCTTTTTCTGGACCATAACGTAGGCTTTGATATACCTCCTAATCTACTTTTCAGCTGATTTCTGCGCTAATGCATCTTTTATTTTTGATATCTTATCTTTATCCATTTTGTCTTCATCCTCTTTTCTTCATCTAGGTCATCTTCATCCATCCTACCGTTATTCATTTTATTATCACCTGCTTTATTACCATCTTTAAACTTTTTTAAGACTTCAGCACAATTTCATATAATGGTTGGAAACTTTCATCATAGTTAATAAATTGTATATAGAAATCGACAACAGTTTTCAGATAATAGCTGATATTGATCTTTTTACCTAATTGCCTCACTACCTCTGGATACTCCATTTTATCCCCTATTCTTTGTGATGAATTATTCTTAACTACAATATACTCAAAGCATTCGCCTAGTTCTGAGATTTTATAAAGATAAGGCTCAGGTATTAAGTCATTTTTATGCGTCGTTTGACATTTGCTTCTTCACAGGTTGTCTATCTCACATTCATGAAATAAAATGCTAGACACTCTTATTATTTTTATCGAGTTTCTACACAGCAGTTTTAACCACACTATTAAAGTTTATATGTAAAATATCATTTATGGTCTCTTTGAGCATGTTCTCTACAATCTGATGCAAGATGCAAGTATTATTCAGCCTCATAGATTCTTCTATGATTTTCTTATCTATCTCATGAAAGTATTTAGACAGCTCCTGCTTTACAATCTCAACCCCTCAAATGAAAAGCTTATTATTAAAGTTAGGTTCTCTTCTATGTGAGATACTGTAGTATTTTTTCTTTTCAGTAAATACTACCAGAAATAAAACTTCCTCATATGCTATTTTGAGATAAGAGGATCCGTTATCTACTTTAAGTAAGTCATTAACTTCATTTCAGAATTCGCTCATTGCCTTCATAGATCTTCTCCTAGTATTTGTCCTTCGATATCTTTTCTGAAATATATTTCTCATCACACTTCTAGAAATATTCTTCTGAATAAACAAGGTATAATGAATCAGTATCCCCGTATTTTATATTGAACTTTTTACTTTTGATAAGGTTAGCAATAAGTTTAATATTTTGCTGACCAGCTAATGTTATCCCGCTTGCTAATGCTCATAAGAAGAAAGGGAATCCAGTATTCCCAGCTTTACCGTAAAATGTATTCATATACACTTTTAAAGTAAGCTGTTTTGCATCTTAATAAGCGATATTAAAGACAACTGAAAAGTATTCAGATTTTAAAGTATCTGTAACTACTATGCCTCTTTCTTTTGCTAAACTAATCTTTTTTTCTAATTCTTTTTTTTATTATTTAATAGAGTAAAACGTCTTTTTAGTGAATTTCATCTAATAAGCAACTCCTCTAATACTTTTGGATAAAGGCCTTTCATTTCGGTTTGGTTTTTATACTCTATAAACCATACGAAAACATTGTGACTATTAAATTTGAAATTAATTTTATAAAGCTTTTTATCACTTTTTTTTAGAAATTCAGTATGCTCTCAAGATAAAATGATTTTATCAGTAAAAGATTGTATGTCATAATAAAGCTTGAATACAATGATACAAAATCTAAACCAGTTACAGGGGGTTTATTTTTAAGACCCTTTACCAATAGGAAAACATAGACCCTAGAGTACTTCCCTATTTTCATTTGTTTACATGAAATTATATTAGTTAAAATTCCTTTCCACCATACACTAGCACTTAAAAAATTACACACTTTCATTTCTACTGCAAAATAATGTAAATCATATAATAATATGAAGGCTACGAATGCTACCTCCCTATACAGTCAGACCTCTCTAAATGCATTCCCCTTGGGATTGAGCAAAAGGATGCATTTAGAAAGGGTGTGTATTAAAAGAAAATCTGTATTTTAACAGATTTTTATAATATATTAATAATAAATTTATTTGTTTTTATTATATTGAATACTGGATTTACTAATTACAATTAATAATAAATAAGATTAATTAGTTTTAGAAAATTTTGTCACAAATAAAAATTTATAAATAATCAAAAAAATTTTTTTCTTTATAACTATTTATTAATATTTAAAAATTGCTCTAAAGTAGTTTGTTTCATTAAACTGCTTTTTTTTCTTTAATAAACCTTTCAGGAATATTGACAGATTTTAAATATTCAATAGTACTTTTTTATTGAAGTAAAAATACACAAAAAGTCTCTAAACTTTTTGATGCTACACTTATACTAATGAGTTCTATTTCAATACTAT